TTGCTTCCTGACTTTTTTACCAAGGCAGCAAAGTTATGCATGTACCAGTTTCCATAAGCAACACGGTTTCATCCTCAGAAAGCATCCACTCATGGCACACAGTGTTTTAAAACGTCCTCTACCTGGATCAGCTGGTTCTACTCTATCTGTTGACATATTCAAACATGGTATAAACCAGTTGATTTTATGTTGTGGATCGTGATTTCTTCTACCTGATCTCTGGTCAGATTTGAGTTGTCAAAGACGAGATTCAAGTGGCTTGTGAGCTGGTCTCAATGCTGAGACAGTTTTACTTTTTAGAGCAGATCTTTTGTTTTCTGCAGAGATTCCCATAGCTATTCATAGTTCAGCACAGGGTGAACAATATTCTGAGACTCTAGGTCATGGATCAGAGCATGAAGGCTTTGCAAAAACCTGTTTCTGTCAAGAATTATGGCTGTTGAGAAGGAACCAGAAGGAAGTGAGGGAAGCAGAAAACACACTTTGGGGAATTGGTGTGGGGCTGGACTCCAGCACTGGCAGAAATATCAAGGCTCAGCCCAGTTGAGGGAGTTGGCAATTTAAAGACTTCAATCTCTCTAGGGTGGGAGGGACCTGGAAGAGAGCCTGTGTTCCTCGGTCAGGCTGGCCAAATGCTGACTGTCATTCCATCTGCTTTGTGCTGTTTTCTATTCTTTTTCCAACAGCCAAAATTATACTTGTTGCTAGGCACATGACTTTGGCAGGGAAGTTCCGAGTCTCAGAAGAGTGGAGAGCGGGAAAGTCAATGAAGGGAGAGGGAGGGGTAAGCTGGAGGGTGACACATCCTGGCCCTCAGTGAAAAGAAGGGGTCCCACTTCAGGCAGCCTGCAAGAGGAGCTTTTCACTTCTACCCTTACCTTCCCTAAGAACACAAGGTCACAGATTTGACATTATTAAATGAAAATATATTTTACAGTTGCAATTAACACAGGAGATGAACAATAATGTGGCGATACAGAGAAGGGGAAAATGTAAAATATATTTCCAGGATATGTGTGTAAATCAACTAAAACTTTGAATGTGTGATAGATATACCACTTTGAAAGGTGACTGTCAAAGTGAGCCTGGAGAGATCAGAGATAAAGGACCCACAGTTAATTAGAAATTTGATAGACTTTGTTTCCTATTTTCTACAAAGCAAGCTTGAAATTGCCAGTCTTTATTTTTTTATGTTTTATTTTCTTTTTTGAGAGACAGGGGAGGAGGGAGAGACAGACATTGATTTGTTGTTCCACTTATTTATGCACTTGTTGGTTGATTCTTGTATGTGCCCTGACCGGGTATCGAACCCACAACCTTGGTGTATCAGGACGATGCTCTAACCAACTGAGCTACCTGGCTAGGGGAAATTGCTAGTCTTCAATGTGCTCTGTGAACTTCGAAGCATGAGATACGATCTGCAATAGATGTTACCTTACCTTACCATGCTCTCTTACCATGGATCCCTTTTCTTTCAGTAGCAGCTCATAGTCTCACCAGGAAATGTTCACTCAGAAAGTAGCTTAAGGTTCCTTCCAGTCCTAGAATGCTATGATTTTAGAAGCAGTCCATATTTTTAAACACAGAGTAATATACTGAAGAAAAACATTCTTCTGGGTTCCCAAACACTTAAAAAGAAATCTTATAGGTACTTGTAAGACCACGTACTATAGGGAACTAATAACTGGGATGAGTGGAGTGGAGACTGAAGGTACACAAGCTACTCTCCTTATTAGCTGATCCTACTTCCAAAACTCATGACTCACTGCTCAGCCAATGAGCTTAATGTGTGTCAACTTAATGTGACTTCTTCCAATTTCATGAAAAAAATTATTTTTCTTTTTTGTCAAATGCACTTTATAGATAAAATGGACACTCCTGCATCATGAAACGCAAGAGTTGAAAGAAAGATAATGTAATTTTGTAAATAAGACATAAATTGACCCATAGACTTGAAGGGCTGTCAAGGATGCAAGAAATGTCCGTGTGTACATATATTTAACTGTAAGCAAGACTTTTTTAAAAAGTTATCTCAGAAACGGATCCTATGGTGACTTTCTTTTAAAAAGTATATGAGAAGGCAAAGGATAAGGGTCACCTGTAAAAGCATAGACCATTATTAATATTTATGGCCGGATACACTGTTCTAGAAGAGCACTGAGCAATCTTGGCTGTGCCTTGGAGTTACCTGTGGAACATTATCAAGTGCAGGTGCCTGGGCCCCGCTCCAGGAAGTTTTAATCCAGGCAGCCTGCAGTGGAGTCCAGCTCTCGGCATTTCTGTAAAGGTCCACTGGTGATTCTGATGTGTAGTAAAGGCTAAGATCCAAACACACCTTGTAGGATGTGGTAGGTATTACAGTGCACTGCCCACATGCTCCCACGGAGGGATGGAGGGGCCATCCCCTCAGCACTGTGTTGGACACTGACTACTCACAGGGAAGTCCTTCTCCAAGAATTGTCCTCCATAGGTCAAAGAGATCTGCCTCACCCGTGGTCATGCCCCTTTTTTTTTACAGTCAGCTTGCAGCTAATGACTGGTCAATGGGAGGAGAGGACAACAAAGACCAACTCTCTCTTGCTTTAATTTAGGGCAACCCTGAAAGGGGTCTTTAACCCTAACCATCAATGAATTGGAGTTACCTGATGCGGGGAAGGCATTGGGTTAGAAGTCCAAAGACTTGATCTCAAAGCCTTTTTTGCCTGTTGCGGTTAGTGGCCTAGACAAGTCGCATCATCTGTTGAATCTCACTTTTTAACTCTAAGAACAGGGACAGCAACAACAACAGAAACAATAACAGTAACAAAAACTGTGTGATCTACTTTTAAGAGTAGCTGTGACGGTTCAGTAAGATTCTATAGAAATAAACTGTTAACCATATAAAATGCTGGTAGCTACTGTTATTAAATGTTCTTAGGTCTAAAAATCCCCATAGATTATGTGAAGAGAAAATTTTAAAGAACCAGATGACACTGGAAGTCAAAAACGTTCTAATTTCCAAATGTGTATGTATTTAACAGTTTCCACCGCATGTGTTCAATGAACTGAAATAATAAAATGGAATGGTTTGTTTGTTTTGCTGCTTTTTACACAGAACTAAAACCAGCCAAAAAAAGAAACAGACCTGGGTGCCAAGATAATTTGGGGAATCAACAGTCATTTCAACAGATGCAAAAGAAATAAGGATGACCTTCTGTCTCCTACCATGTACAAAAAAAATAACTCAAAATGGATCAAAGACCTAAATGTTAGAGCCAAACCTATAAAGTTCTAGAAGAGACCAGTAGTAAATCTTCACGATCCCAGATTGGGCACTGGTTTTGGAGCTCTGACACCAAAGCACAAGCAATAAAAGAAAAAGATAAATTAGACTTTACCAAAACTAAAAATTTTTTGTGTTTCAAAAGACACTATCAAGATAGAGAAAAGAAAAGACACTGAATGGGAGAAATATATGCAAATCGTAAATCTGACATGCGAATTGTATCTAGATTATACAGAGAACTATTACAACTCAACAAGGAGACAACCTAACTGAAAAATGGGCAAGAGATTTCCACAGACGTTTCCCCAAAGACAGCACGTGAATGGCTAATAAACAAACAGAAAAAATACTCAACATCGTAAGTTGTTAGGGAAATTCAAATGAAAACCACAATGAAATACCATTTCATACCTACTAGGATGGCTATAAGAAAAAAGACATAATAAGTACTGGCGATAATGTAGAGAAATTGAGCCCTCCTACAATGTGGGAATAGAAAAGGGTAGAGCTGACTTTTGAAAACATCCTGGCAGCTCCTCAAAATGTTTGAGTTACCATATAACTCAGCAGTTCTAGCCCTAGAGTAATGAAAACGTATCTGCGTAAGAACTAGTACAGAATGCTTAGAGCAAATTATTCATATGACCAAAAAGCGAGAACCCAAGTATCCACCAACTGAAAATGCATAAACAAAATGTAGTATGTCCAGATAACAGAATATTACCTGTCAATCAAAATATGTGAAATTAAAATACATCCTATAACATAAATGAATCTTGAAGATATTTTTTTATCTTCACCTGAGGATATTTTTTCCATTGATTTTTTTTTTTTTTTTAGAAAGAGTGGAAGGGAGGGGGAGGGAGAGAGAAACATCGATGTGAGAGAGACACATCGATTGGTTGCCTCCTGCACGTGCCCCAACCAGGCCTGGGATTGAACCTGCAACGGAGGTACGTGCCCTTGACCAGAATCGAACCGGAGGCCCTTCAGTCTGCAGGCCGATGCTCTAACCACTGAGCCGAACCAGCCAGGGGGAACCTTGAGAACATTAAGCTAAGAGAAGGAAGTCAGTCACAAAAGAACACATATTAAGGATTCTATTTATATGAAATTCCCAGACCAGCACGTCTGCAGAAAAGTAGATTAGTGGTTGCAAGGGGCCAAGGGGAAAGGGAATGAGCAATGACAAAGGTCTGAGGTTTCTTTCTGGGGTGATGGATATATTCTAAAATAGAGTAGATGATGGTTGCACAACTCTGTGAATGTACTAAAAAAATCACTGAATTGTACACTTTAAGTGGGTAGATTGTATGGCATGTGAATTATATTTTAATAAGTGTTATTAAAGAAATAATCCCATGAGCTGAAGAAATAAGACAGATGGTAAGAAGAATTTAAATATAACTCAGGGAAAAATATTGTGACTATTTTGCCTTGATTTTTAAGTAAACACAGCTCACTGTCTGCTATTAAGTAAATCAAATCACAAATCTGTGGGAAAGAGACTGGCCAGGAAAAAATGACTGTGCTCTGGAAGAATTCACATTCCCTCAAAAAATGGACTAAAAAATTCTCAGTGACTGACTCAGACTTAAGGAATCAATAACCTACTGCTAGCTGAACTAAATCATGCCTGCTAGGAAAAGACAGTTTTTAAAAAATGGGCTTTCAAAGTCTTTTTAGCAGTAAACATCTGCAGTCACAACTCCTGCAGAAATGCCAGGACCCTTACCTATAAGCTCGCAGTATCCTCTGGGCGATGGCGTCGCCGATCTTGTTGAACACAACCTTGTCATCAGCGCAGCTTATGAAAAACTGGTTCTATGAAAATCAGCGGGATAATCATGTAAGTCTTTCTTATTTTAGTAGTCTGTAGATAAGGGAAAGTGGCATATAATGTAATCTACATTGATATATTTTTAAAAAATATTTCATATAGCAGACATGTTCTGACCTCTGAAATCACCTGAGGAAAGTAAATCACAGGCTAAAAGAAGCCTCGTCTCACTCTGGATCACATGCATTGCCAGGTAATAACAAGTGTAACATCTTAGACAAGCGAAAGGCTTTATGTTACGTTCTTAGAGTGGCAGGAGCATTCCAAATTTAACCAATAGGGAAATCAGATTTATTTTTCAGATTCACACATTGCATAAATGCCTATGATTAAAAATTTTATGTTGGCTAGATACAGAGAACGTACTGAGGGCTGCCAGAGGGGATGGGGTGGGGTGGCTGGGTGAAATAGGTAAAGCGACTAAACAAAAAGACACACAAACTCCTAGACAGACTATAGAACAGTGATTACCACAGGGAAAGGGGGGTGGGGGGAATGAGAAGAGGGCAAAGGGGGTATAAATGGTGATGGAAGGGGACTTGACTGGGTGGTGAACACACAATACAATATACAGATGATGTGTTATAGAATTGTACACCTGAAACCTATACAATTTTATTAACCAATGTCACCCCAATAAATTCAATTTCAAAAAATTTCTATATTGGCAACCATTCTATCTCATGCTATGTTTACTTTTTTAACCAGGTAGATGGCAGAACTCTGGTCTAATTTTCTCCACCCTTTCTCCATTATTGAATAGTATCAGCTTTGGCCTTATCTCATTTGTTTGGGTCTCTTATTGTTCCTGAACTTCTATTTTAAGTAGCTTAAACCTCTTTTGTATTTTGTATACATAAACAGGCCAATAAAATGGAAAGAGAAATACTTTTTTTTCTTTAAGTACTTCTGTTATTTATGCACCTATAAGACATTCTATAACACTATTACTACATAATTACTGCATAAAGGAATGTTAAAAATTAGATACAAATATTATCACTATTACATGTTCTATTTGTACACATTGTTATAATATACCAGTAACTTTTAAGTATAATCATCACCAAGTAACCGTTACTAATCATCTTAAAAAGATATATAAGCAAGGAGTGAATATATTATTATAATCCCTTTGTAACATCATCGTGTTTATTACTACACACGTTTTTACACTTAAGTGAATAAATCTGTAAACTGCCTCCAGAAGACAAACTTACAAGAAAACATTGTGCAGAAACTCATTTGAGAATGTGTTTCCCTTTAGGGCATCAAACAATCAAAATCTCAGCGGCAACCAAACCATGTTTGTTTTTCTGAATTTGTATTACAGAGCAGCTTAGCATTCCTCGGCAGCTGCAACGCACACCGGCCATGTGTCATGTCCTTGACCTCTTTTGGGTCAGAGCAGGGTAAATGCTGACCGCTTCCCTTGCAGAGGTGTGTCAGCCAGGTTACTGTCCCCATGTGTATCAGCACCGGCATTACTGATCTCACCTAGTACTGTGGTAGCATTAATAAGAAAAGCTGACTTACTGCTACCAAAAACAGATAAAGCAAAAGGATTCTGGGTAATGCGTGAGCCAGCTGTTAACATCTCACATTATTATGCTATAATTTTTTAAATCAACACTAACCATATCAGTATTACTAAGCCACAGACTTTATCCAGAGCTCACTAATTTTTTTACTAATGTCATTTTTCTGTTGCACGACCCATCCAGGATACCACATTGCATTTAGCCTGCTAATATTTTTAGTCAGCCTTCTTTCTCCACGTCTGTGAAATAAATAAATCTCCAGTTCTTTCCTACTTGCCCTGAGTGAATTGTCACTGTGTGGAAGGGGAGAGGGCCAGGGCTCAAGGGGGAGGGAAGCAGGGCTAGAAGGACTTTCTCCAGCTACCCCATCTCCCTCCATACATTTTTACAAAAATCAATGGAAAGGAAAACACTAAAATAAAGGAGGGAGATGTGCTCTGATTTACTGTTGCCTCGTCATGGCTCTTTATTTTTTCAGGATTTTCCAAGGATATGCTCTGAACTAGCTTAGGATGGACTATGAAGCACAATTAAGACTCCCAGAGTCCCTAGATGAAACCGTTGTTCACACAGGACTGAAGAAGGTGGGACCTGCTCTCAATGTTCTTGCATCTTCCTTTCCATGTTCCTTTCCTGCACTCTCCCTACAACAACATCCCCAAACCAGTGGCATCCAGGGGTCTCTATTTTAGCAACTCACCCCTGTGCATGCTCTCCTGAAGTAGTAGGTACTTCACATTTCCACACCAAATCTAAACTTACACATCCGTGTTGGGGTGTTTCTAACAATATTACACGTTGATACATTTAATAACAAGGATCTAGGGACTCCTATTAGAGTCCTGAGTTAATGAAAATGCAAAGCAAATGTCAGGTATGCTGGGGAAGTACAGATTCAGGTGACCCAAGGCCTCTTCACATCTCAACATACACTTATTAATACAGCAGGTCCTGGGTTCGGGGTCCCTGCGGTCTCCGTACGGTATTTATGGGAAGGCAGGTTGTTATAGCCATTTATGTGAGCGAGACTTACTTCTATATAGATGTAGTGCTTGCTGTTCTCTATCACGTGGACGTAAGCAGTGTGGATGGACTCTTCATGGTACTTTATCCCAGCAGACCAGTCAGCAGCAGAGCGGAGCAACTGTCAGAAATGAGCAAGCATGAGACAATGGAGGTGATACCAGATGTATTGATACAATGAAGTCCATCTTTTTGCTTTTAAACAACTGCATGAATACAGTGGCTTGAGTGTCATGTGTGGGTCAAGGAAGAGTGTCTGAGTGGGGAACTGGTCCTTAGACGTAACCATTAACGAAGGAGCCCAGATGGCAATCAAGTACTGAATATTTCTTCTTCCACTCGGTGTAACTGTCATTCAAAATTGGAAACCATGAGGTGTTTCTATAAAGAGTATTTCAGAAGCACCCCTTCTGGTGGTTGAGTGGGGTGACCAATTGTACTCTTTTCCCATGAGAGATCCACAGTGACTCCAGAATGCCTGCGGTTCTGGTCTATTATTAATAGCACCACTTTTACTGCCCAGTGTCCTGGTGTGAACCATATGATACGGCCACCCTAGCTCTGACTTGATACTGTGATTATTCGCTCCCCTAAACAGATACTGTTCAGATTAACATATGCTAAAAGGCAAGTAGATTCATTTAGACATCTAATCTTGATTCTACCTTTAAGCACCTGTCTGACCCTTGCCACCCCACTTCAGCTCTCAGTTCCTCACTCATACTGCCCCCCGTATTCAGACACTCACCTGCTCCCACCCAGATTACAATAAGCTTCCAGCTCAGACACCTGAATACATGTTAAATACACTGACATAGAGCGGGACTGCCTAGGTTCAAAGCTTAGCTCAGCCACGTAGCGGCTTCGATCTTGGTCAAGTCTCTTAACCACTTTGTGCCTCAGATTTCTGCTCTATAAGATGGAGTATCTACTCTATAGGGTTGTAGAGAGAATAAGATGAATTACTGTGGAGTGTGCAGGAGGCCTGGCACCTAGTAAGTGCTATATACTAAGTGTTTGCTATCACTAATGAGAATATTAGGGGGGTGTTTGAGTGGTGGCAGATCATGTCAGCGATGCTGCAGAGCAGACTGTGCATGGAAGGGTGCACTAGATGACATGCAAGGCTTTTCAACACTAAGAAACCACTGGCTGTAATTTTTTCAGCATTCTAACTAGTATTGCAGTACAATGTTGGGCATATAGTAGGTGCTCAATAAATACTTATTGGCTTTCCCTAAGTTATAGCAGGACATCACATAAGAATCACTATAAAAATAGATTTGCTATTCCTGATTTGAAATGAATGTTGAAGCTGTGCTTCATGAGGTCAACAGATATTAAAGATAAAAGAATGGCCTGTATTTATTAGGAATGAGTAAAATGATCCAACCCACAATTACTTTTGTCTGTTATACAGGAGTAGGCAAAAGGAGGCTTACAGTTGCGAGTACGTGAAACACAGGATTTATTCGTGTATTATTATTTATTTAACTGGCATATCTTTTTCCATATGAACAACTGTAAACCAGGTCAGCCAAATAAGATTAGGTAAAGCAGGGCTTTACCAATAGGCATTAGAAGACATGTGCATATGTAACACTGGGATAAAACATCCTTTGCTAATCATAAAAATACAGAATTCCCAGAAATGCCTTTTCAACAGATGCTTAATTAGCATCTGCTAACTTTGATAAGTGGAACCCTGAGTCCATTTTAATGCCATCTCAAATCTTAAGTTCTCTTGTTTTTTAATATCAAGGCTCCTATTTTATCTTACAGCACGCATCATATTTTCTCTCAAGTAGAATAAAATTAAACAGGTTCATAAAATATTCATTAACTTACATAGAAATGCATCTATATTTGTGCCTCTGAGTTTGAATTAGTTGTCTCCTTTAGCCTGGGAAGACTAAGTATTTTCCATAGTTATTGCTCTTAAGTGGTTTATCTGCTTGGTTGTTCTGTTATTTGATTTATGGTCTGAAATGTCTTTTTATTTCTTTTATATATATATATATATACACGTACCTCTATTTGCACATAATAGTACAAAGTAGCTGAGTTGGGCATTTCATTTATGTAATCATATCCCCTAGAATCCATGCCCAAATTATGTAAATCCATATTAGTGATGTCACTAGCAAACTGCTGGATCTTTACTTCAACAATACTTTTCATGCTGATAGTGATGACTGAAAAAAAAGCAGTGCTAAAGGTGGCCCCTCCCAGCTCTGTCCCTGAATGATCTCAAGATACCTGAGCGGAAGTTGGTAGAGGGAGCTGACTGGCTAACAATGGATTAGAGCAGGATTTGAAGGTCTGCCTCTATCAATAACCAACTAGGTGACCCTGGACAAATCTCATAGCCCCCTTGGGGGTCTTATTTTCTTTTTGAGATGGCTGGACTGGATGTAATAAAATTCTGTGATACTATTAACCAAATGCCTTTTTCTATTAAAACAGCCTCTAAAAGGCATTTGGTTAATTAGGATCTAAAATTAGATTGAACTATAACTAGCTTTGCAGCAAAGTTTCAGCCAAATTCCTGGTGCGTAACCAATACCCGTCTCAGGTTTACTTTAGATCATGTTTATTTGGATCAAGCCTTTCCTTGACTGGCCTTTCCTAAGGGTATGGATTTATTATATGTATAAGAGAGTGTTGGAAAGAGGAAAAATTAAATATATTTAAGATATAAGATATGATACTAAATTTTAAAAGATCCACTCAGATTTCCTTTGGAGTTCAAAAATGTGAGTGAAGCCAATGTCATAGGCACTTAGTCCAGAAAGAGCGACTTCACCCAGGAGCACTTTGTGATAAAGAAAAGCCAGACTGACCTGTACGTTAGCGCGGATGGACCCAGGCACTTGATATTTCAACTCATGGGCTGTTGCGTGAGATTTTGGAAGCAGGAAAGGATAAGAAAGGGACCGATATTTTGATTTCATAATCTAAAATAAATAAAAACAGGTGAAAAATTCAACTGAGAAAACAGTCCCATTCTTCCATATTTTGTGATTATAAAAGAAGTTCAGGATCATTTGAAACAGAAAAAATAAAAACGTTAACAGTGGATGTTTCTAGGGGAAGGGGTAATAGATTATTTTTGTTTTCTTTCTATTTCTCAGAGGCAGAGAACTCTTTTTTCCCCTTATTTTACCTTTTGTAGTAAGCATGCATTCTTTGTATTCTTTATATTTTAAAAGAAAGCTTAAATATAGTCTAGAGTTATAGAGGTATATAATTTAAAAATTTGGTTTACTCTTTTGTAAACTGATTTTTTTTACTATGTTGCAGGTATCTTGCCACAACAATATAGCACTATGTATCATTTTTTAATAACTCCAGTGCCAAATGGTATGAAAAAATCATAATTTGTTTAATTACTATTGAGCATTTATTTCTCATTTTATTTGAATTATTGGAAGCGATGTCAAAATAAATTAGTTTATTGGATTACTTCTTTGACTTAAATACCTGAAAAATATTTTCTGAGTCAAAGGTTGTATGCCTTTTAAAAAACTTTTCAGTGTTGTGCTAATTTATCACCCAGAAACTGGGTATAAAAAGATAAAAAATACAAATCCCAATTGCAGATATTAGCAGTGTTTTTGTTTTAAATCTTTGCTTGCCTAGCAGGTTAAAGGTAATATCACTTTGTTTATTCATTCATGTCCCCTAAATTTTTGTAAAAGATGTTTCCATTATTTCTCAGAGTTCCCACTGTTTACAATGCTATGTAAATGAAAAATAAGGTGAGACTCCAAGTGGTTGATAAAACAGTCTTTTTCCAAATTATTGGCAAGAATAATGAATGCTTCATCATCCTTTAAAGTAAATAAAATGGAACCTTCATAACACCTGGATGATAGGTACTTAACTTATGAATGTTAGGTCAAAGAAGTAATGAAGAGTAATAAAGGCATACTAAAGAAACACAATCTGAAAAAAAAATCCCCAAACTCCCCCAAAAAACAAACAAACAAAAAGACTATATCTTCTTATCCTGCTCACCTTGCTCAGAGCCACCTCTCCAGTAGGAACCCAGTGCAATGCCCGGATTGGAAGGACTTGAAAGTTTGAGCTCTCCCACCTAACAAGACCCGCACCCCTATAATAGCCTTCCAGGTGATTACCAGCCCAGGCCAGATGCTTAATCAACACTGAGCAGCCAAGATGTTAAAAGGTTAAAACCACTGGCCCTGATAGTAGCATCTCTCCTTCTGTGCTCTAAATTATCTATAATGGGAAAGTTTGGGAACATTTTCTTTTGCCCAGAGACCCAGGAGCTGTGACAGCCAGGCACCCAACAGTAGATGAATGGCACAGCTGTGACAGCCAGGCACCCAACAGTAGATGAATGGCACAGCTGTGACAGCCAGGCACCCAACAGTAGATGAATGGCACAGCTGTGACAGCCAGGCACCCAACAGTAGATGAATGGCACAGCTGTGACAGCCAGGCACCCAACAGTAGATGAATGGCACAGCTGTGACAGCCAGGCACCCAACAGTAGATGAATGGCACAGCTGTGACAGCCAGGCACCCAACAGTAGATGAATGGCACAGCTGTGACAGCCAGGCACCCAACAGTAGATGAATGGCACAGCTGTGACAGCCAGGCACCCAACAGTAGATGAATGGCACAGCTGTGACAGCCAGGCACCCAACAGTAGATGAATGGCACAGCTGTGACAGCCAGGCACCCAACAGTAGATGAATGGCACAGCTGTGACAGCCAGGCACCCAACAGTAGATGAATGGCACAGCTGTGACAGCCAGGCACCCAACAGTAGATGAATGGCACAGCTGTGACAGCCAGGCACCCAACAGTAGATGAATGGCACAGCTGTGACAGCCAGGCACCCAACAGTAGATGAATGGCACAGCTGTGACAGCCAGGCACCCAACAGTAGATGAATGGCACAGCTGTGACAGCCAGGCACCCAACAGTAGATGAATGGCACAGCTGTGACAGCCAGGCACCCAACAGTAGATGAATGGCACAGCTGTGACAGCCAGGCACCCAACAGTAGATGAATGGCACAGCTGTGACAGCCAGGCACCCAACAGTAGATGAATGGCACAGCTGTGACAGCCAGGCACCCAACAGTAGATGAATGGCACAGCTGTGACAGCCAGGCACCCAACAGTAGATGAATGGCACAGCTGTGGGCACCACTGCCTCTTCTTGCCCGTCCTCTAGGCTTTCCTCTTCCAGGTCTGTCTCTCTTTACATGGACTGAATCACGATACAACCATCCACGCACCTTTGTGAAGTTCCAGCGCTGGATGAAGTGCCGCGCCACGTCACGAGCCGCCTTCCCATGGACCACGGAGCCAATATCATGCCATGGCATCCGGGGGGTGGAGTACCTGTCAATGAAATCTGCCCAGGTGCACCAGGCAGGAATCATCACTAACTTCTGTGCCAGGGACACGAGCCACCTGACCCCAGGCTCACCCCAACTATGGTAAGTCAAAGGAAACGTGGTAATGTCCACTGTGTGTCTATTTTGTGGCCTGGGTGGAGCAATACCTTCATAACCAAGTGAAACATACATTTCATGTTGAGGAACACAGTCCCTCATGCACCTCCCCAAATTTGTTTCCATTTCACTTTGTGTTAGTCACTAGGCAAGGCGAGATGTGAGCTGGTACAAATTACCTAAGGCTGTGTACTTGACATTACATTTTCCTTTTTTATCCTGTTGAAATAATGTCAGACTGCATATGAGGTGTCATCTCTATATTCTCTTAGACATAGAAGCACAGTGATAATCTAAAAATGTGTTATTTTAGTGATAAAAAATGAAGATGCTAAGCAGAAGAGATGATCAAAGGGACTGTACCATCTTTCAGAGAATGACATTATTACCTTCAAAATATGCCTATATAAAATCTGGTGGTTTCAAGCAAGTAAGCTCTATTTCATTTTTCTTTCTTACTATAACTATAAGGAGTCCTTAATTATATGACTGAATCATAGTCTCCCAAGTTTTACCAAATATTCAAAGGAAAACAAGACATTGGATCATGTACTTGCATACTTGTTAGATGTTGACAAGTAAAAGACAAAATATAAGCAGCCATCCACTACCACGGTACTCACCAGCAAAAGGTTTATCCAGCTGAACCCAGTCTTTGAAGACAAAATTGCAGTAGTCCTTCCCATGCCAGAATCTGGTTTCCCCGTGGAGCTCTCCCACGCCTGTCTGCAAACTGCGGATGGAGCCCGTGTCTGTGGACACAGCAAGACCCACTCAGAGCCTGTGGTGCAGGTGGGCCCCAGGGAGGGAGGCTCAATTCTCACTTATGAAACACCTAAGAACTTCTCAACTTTTCTTCTTAAGACTCATAACTAGGGCAGTATATGTCTATTCCATCTGAGGCTGTGGGCTGACAAGGTTTTATAACCCTTAAGTTTATTAATAAGTGGGCGGTTGGGGCTAGAAACAGGTTCGCCATGTGACAATGAAATTTAACATTCTTAGGTTTATCATCCACTAGATCACTAGAAGAAAGGGCCACAGGGCTATGAATAAAGAACTTGCTAGGAGGAACTTGAGAGCATAGTAAAGCCCTGGGTCACGTAGAGAAACATGAGATGCACAGGATATAAAGAAGTCATGCCCTTCTCTTTCCTCAATCAGTATGGCAAACACCTAATACATAATTCTAGTCTTTTGCATCTCAAAAGGCAAAGAACCTCAAATTTACAAACAGCCCATGTTCCAGCCCTGGAATGAAACAGCTTAGTGACACTGAACTTCACCATTAACGAAGAAGTTGGCCTAGGTGACATCTAAGATCTTTCCAGCTCTAACATTCTATATTCCTAAAATCATAAATGACAACCCCAAAAGTCATCACAACAACAGACAGAAGCTTATGACTATACACGCACAAAAGCAGCCATCTACTGCCACATTTCACAGAGAGCTTTGCTGGGACAATTTTACTCAGGGGTAAATACTTTGACTTTCACTGTTTGTATGTTTATGGGCTGTATTGACCACTGAGACAACTAAGCAGGGAGACGAGCAGAACCACAAATCACAGATGCAGCTCTTGACACAAAAGAAGCATCTAACATATAGACGTTGCATGCAAAAATATTTGTGGAATGAATAAGTAGCACCATGTGCAGTAGCCAGTGTCAGTACTGACCTGGTCCCCCTACAAACATACTGTCCCAGAGCTGTCTTTCTAAAATGCACACTCCTTGCTTAAAAGCCTTCCAAGATGACCTAAGGCCTTAGTGAGCACAGAAGGCTCTTCCCAAACGGGTACCAGTCTTTCTCTGGTCTTTGCTTTTCCCGTACAACCCAGGCCCCATGCGCATCGCATTCCTCACTGTGTTTTGACAGGCTAGTCTGTCATGTCTCTGTACAGTCGGCACATTATTCCTGCTGCCTGAACGTTCCTCCTTCCCTCCCAGCCTGACTAATCATCCTTCAGGAGCCACATAGCTGTCACATGCCCTAGAGACACCCCCTCAGATCCTAGTAGGGACAGGCAGTCACTAGCTCTGCTGTAGGACCATGAATAGTTGAACATCCCAGTGCCTTTGGTTCTGTGTCGCAGTTGGGTAAGGACGCTCCCTCCCTGCTCCCCATAGTCTATAAGCTCCTCAGGGAAGGGGTTGGGGGGGATGCATCTTCTCCCTGCCTGGTGTAGCTCCTGGCACTCAGTAGGCAATCAATAAGTATTTGCAGAGCTAAAGTTTTAGCCATAGCTGGTTTTGCTCAGTGGTTAGAGCGCTGGCCTGTGGACTGAAGGGTCTCGGGGTTGATCCCAGTCAAGGGCATTTACCTCAGCCGCAGGCTCAATCCCCGGCCCCATGTGTCTCTCTCACATCAGTGTTTGTCTCCCTCTGCCTCTCCCCCACCCTTCCACTCTCTCTAAAAACAACAATGGAAAAAATATCCTTGGGTGAGTGTTAACAAACAAACAAACAAAAGTTTTTAAACAATCACCCCATACACTGCTAATATTCTATCTCAAACTGAATAATGAACCTTCAAATGTTACTGAAATTTTCCATAAAAGAAAAATGCCTTAAAGCGCTAAAGATTAACAGGGCTGAAATGTTAAATACAGAATTCTGTTGACTTCTCCCAGTGATTTATTTTCCTGCTTTATTAAGACTGAGAGGCCAAAGTACTGGCAGGTCTGTTTGCTCAGCAGTAGGCTCTTTATAGTAAGAATGACACTTTGTTGAAAAAGGAAAGAAGGAGGGAAGGAGGGAAGGAGGGAAGGAAGGAAGGAAGGAAGG